TGCCCCGAACAAAAAAACAGAAAATATAAAGAAGAATCAATAACAGTAAATTATAGTTCTACACTGTACTAAAAATGTATTTGAATTTAGTAGAGGGCTTATTTAAAAGCGACTAAGCAAAACAAAGAATCAAATTTATTTTATTCAACTTCTCTATAGCAGCAGAACTGCAAGAGATTATACTTTATACAAATATGTAAAAAATATGTAAAAAAACTGAAGTATTAAACACAAGAACAGATAACAAATATATGTACAAATCAAGCAAGTGCTTATCAGTGAGCAATAAACCACTAAAACGCAGATAAAGGTAAAAGGCATAAAACAAAATTCTGATATGATTATAATGTAATAAATTTATTTTCATCTAATTATTCAGTACTGTAGAGGCTTTGACTTTTTTGTATATATTTTTTCTAGAATATTAATTTTAACCTATTATCTGTTTTTTTTTTTTTTTACAGATATTGCAAATGCACCTTCTATACCCATATGTGTACATCATGAAGGTAATAAATACATGCTTTAATACATTTTTAATACATCATTTTTATATAATTTCATTCAAACATGAAGGTTATTTGTTAAAATATCTTTTGGATGATCCAAGTACTGTATTGACATAGAAGTTGTCATATAAAGGTTATATATTTCTGTGGGCTTAAAGAATATTAACCACATGCATAGAACATATTAAAGTTCTGCAGGAAGTGATGAAGTATTGCAAAGCCCACTCTAAAACTGTTCATATTGGTTAACCCTGAATTATGCCTTCGGATCTGTTCCTCATGATCCCATCAACATTTTTTTCAACAGATTCAATATACCATATGGCATACTCTATTCCAAAATTTCTGGTACTGTTAGAACTGCTGATTATTTGCCTTCGGTTTAGGAATTTTACAGGGCAGGGCAATCTTTCTTCAATGACATTCCTTTCATTGTTTCAAAGCAATTGTTCCATTTCTCGAAAAATAGGTAGGTGTATGGTGAAAAAGGTTATTCCTTTTTTGGAGAAGATTAATGCCTTCTTCACTAAAAGGGCTCATCAACCCACCTAATTAATAAATTCCTTTTAATTATCATGTGCAGTTCTCTTTCCACTTTCTGTGGGTATACGCCAATACAGTAGACGAAAGATTATTAATGCATATTAAGTAAGTAACTGTTGAGAGTAATCTAGTACAGTAATACTTATTCAAAAGACATGGTCTGTCAAAGAGCTATTACTATATATTAATTGTAATATGTCTTTACTCAACTTGTTCAAGACTTTCAACAGATAAAATTAAAGCTGTTGATATAAACTCTTGTTTTCTTTTAATTTAGTTGTACGTGTGAGAATGGATCGCAAGCGCAAGAGTCAGAGTGATGAATCTGAAGATGACCCATGCCAAGAAGATCCTCTCGTTTTAGTTGAAAATATTGTAGACAACCAAGGGGTACAAACGGCAGACGCTATTTGTGAAAAGGTTGTTGAATTTAGAGTTGTTCGAAGGCAGTTTGAGAGTATTTCAGTGAAGATTATAATAGTAGACAGTGAATGTTTGGTGTTCTATGTATCTGTTTGTGATCCCAATGCACTTGAAAATCTGTATAGCTTAAGTTTGAGTGGGAAGCTCATCCAATATTTAGCAGCGGTATTAGTCCCAGCAGACCTTCAAGAGGAGTTCATTGACAGATGGTCAACAGATATTGATAAAGAAGAGTATGAAGCTGCCCTCAGTAATCTCAAAGCAAAAGGTGAGAAAATTGTTATTTTATTAATATCGGTGGGGGGGTGGGGGAACAACATATTCAGAATAGATAAGTAAGAGCGCTTTATTTCAATATATGCTTTGAAATGAAAAAATTTTGTGGCAAAACGGGAGGGGGTGCCCCTGTGCCCCTACTGGATCCACCCCTGTATGGGTAAAATCATATTACATAATGATTAATATTTAATAATATTGATAATAAATAATACTTTTTATCCTCATAATGAAATTAAGAACTTGGGCTGGGGACTCACAGCAGCCCGGGTGCCACCCAATTAACTACATGTATTGGATACATACTGTACAGGTACAAGCATGATCCTTATTTTAACTAAGCAGTTGGGTAACGCTATGCGCTCTGTCACAGCTGACCACAGGGCCTCTGGCCCCTACCCATACAGGTTCTCGATCTAAGACACTGACCCAAAACGACCCTGAAGGAGGCTGACTGTTAGAGTCCCTGAATTCCAGTTGCCAAAAGAACTTGAGCGAACTAAATTTTAACCTATTTCCAGTAGCGAATGCTCCTGAGCATGTGGTGGACGACGAGAGTTGCTGGTGCTGGGTTAATACCGGGTAACACAGACACGGAGGGACCCATAGGGGTGAAGAAAGTCATTGGTCGAGTTCCTAGTCCACATATCCAGCGCCCTGAGCATCTAAAATTAGATGAATATGTGCGCTATATAAAACTACACTATTATTACTGAGCATTAGATCATTATCATTACTAAGTCATTAGATAATTTTTAAAATATAAAAAGGAAAATTTTAGAAAACAATGTTATGGTTGATTTTATTTTCAGGAAATTGTATTTTGGGTGATAGACTAATATTTAGAAAGTGAGAAAAAAATTTTTCGCTTTTTTAACGGACTATAGTCTAGCATACCTTCATATTTCTGCCAGCAATTGTTTTTCTCTTTTTGTGATTATAAACCTTTTTTTTTATATGGGATTATAACAACTTGTTTATGGGACAAATGAGTTTTTCAATTAAAATACTACAAAATATATTTCTTTTATAACTGTTTAACCTTCATAGCGTTGTTTCTTTTAGCATTGTATTTGCTGATACATAATAAAATAATGTGTCTGTAGGATAATTAGTGGATTCAATTCAGTCGACCCGGGCCCCCTAAATTTTTCAGAATAAAGGAAATAATTGAGAGAGAAAAATAGTCCTCCACTGGCCCCCCTCAGGAATTCCTAGATTCACCACCGAGGATATTATATGATATAAATTATTTTGTTGTTAAAAACATTTAAAATACACTACAATGACAAACATGAACACAAGGTTAAATACGACCACATCGGAAAACCCACAATGGAATTGGCGACTGGGACCAAAAACAGGCCCCCAGTCTCAGAAAGCCTCAGGGCCAGGCTTAACATTACGCCACTGCGGCTAACTGGCAATGTGAGGGTTTTACTGTATACTGAATAGGGACCTTCAAAATCAGACATGCACATTAAACAGCAGTACTGCCCTAACCATAGTGGGAGGGGGGCCTGTGGTGATACTCCAACCACAAGGTATCCTCATCCTCTTCGGAGATGATGAATTGTCCTGACTTTTTATTCTTCGGTGTTGCAGTGTATTAACTGAAATTCCATTTGTTCAAATTTGTATAAAATGGAATTTTGGAATTACCAAGAAGATTTGAATATTTTGCTTTATATTTCTTTTTTTTTTTTACAGATAAATGTGGACCATATGATTTTTGCATCATTAGTAATGATGCAGGGTGGGAGAATACGCTAATGGAGGAATTGAAACAAAAGAGACCCGATTTAAATTGTGCCATCATGAAAAAATGGAGGTTGGACAAACCTGAAACTGTCAGTGATTTAATAGGACAAAGTAAGAATGTAATCGTAGGATTTTCACCAAAACCATTGGCTGATTATTCCAAATATGCTGCACACAGTGTCATTTTAGAAATGCTGGAAGCTAAAACACTTGATCATGACAAGATAATTCCATTCAAGATATCAGAAAGTGTTGTGGTACCACCTGAGTTTGAATCATTCACCGCATGTCGAGTATGGGATAAACTTTTTGTTGACAGACTTCTGCAAGACAAATGTGGTAGATATTGGTTTATTCTTTTTTATATTTAATGAGCTCCCGAACAGCAAATCTATAATCATGGGAGGTCACTACACAATCAATTTATTTTATTTCATTTCATTTATTTAATTTTTAGGTGATAAACAATTATTATTGAACAAAAAACTTAAAAAATATACAGCACCAAATAAAAGCAAGATTACCATTATATGTGGATTAATTTCCAAGAGCACAACCACTACCAAATGGCTCTTATTGACTGATCACAGTGGTGTATCTACAGATGAGCGAATGCCTACCAAAATGCTTTGGTCCCTCCCTCAGCAACTTCACAGGAAATTCACTGAGCAAAAGATAATTTAAAGTAGTTAACCTAATTTCATTTTTTGCCATATAACTACATAATCTTGAACCCCACTCAAAATTTGTTTTTTCCCACCATTCAGCTACCCTGTGTCGAATATTCTAGAAATGCCACTGACAGAAACATAGACAATAAACATACATGCATAATGTAATAAATATGCTGATATAAAACCTAACCAAAGTATGTAATAATATGTACGTTTTTATATAGCACTCTACACTGCTCTACACATAAGTCTTGGGGTGTTTTTTCACATTATTATCCCAGTTGCTGGAATAATGGCTACAGTATAGGGGAAATTCCATAATTTGCTGCATGAAATATATCATCACATTTTACACTCAAACCTTTTTAGGTACCCACTTTAATTATACTCCTGGGTGGAAAGGGACAACATAGATAAAGTGCCATACCCAAGGACACAAGCGACTTGCACAACAAAGGTTTCATACCCCAACCTCAAGGCAGGTGTGGTGCCAGTGGGAGACCGAGGGCCAGGGCCTGGCCCACTTTGGGAAGAAAAACCACAATTCATCGGGGAGGGAAAAAAATTATTTATACATATAGTAGACCCTAAAATCGATTAAATAAGCATTTGAAACCCATAAATTGTCAAAATTTTTGGGACAACTTTCTAAACATTTTGAGCGACACTTGACCATACCCATTTTGCTCTCCTCGGCATTGCCTTCCCCCCCCCCCCTTCCAAACCACTCACAAGTATAAAATTAAGAATCTACATGTAGTTTTGACTCTAGTTTTTAATATTGTTATTTTGAATTTAGAACCTCAGGTGGAAGTTAACACAGATGCATCCATTGACAACTTAACACAGATGGATGTGAAAGACTCAAATGACGGTATTAAATGTTTGTTTTGTATTAAGTACTTTCTATGTTAGTTTACCATATTTTTTTTTATCTACTCCTTTACATAATATTGTGTTTGGCTGAACATAGTAATTGTATAATTGTTTGCTCTTTATATTGGATGGGCTGTAATTTGCATAGACTGTTCTCCTGTATGGTTCATGATTAAGGATTTATGGTTTATATTGAAAATGAAACATGGAAAAAACATGTTGATCTACCATACAATTTCACCACCTTCAGCTACCTAATTTGCTGTCAGGTATACCAATATAGAAAATCAAAATGAATAAAATGGAAAAATAATTACTGTTTTATAATGTACGTAAATGGAACACAAAGAATATTTAAATGATTGTTTTCTTTTGCAGTTCAGAGTGGTTTGTATGACTTCTGTTTCATAAGTGACAACTCAGAATGGGAGAATAATCTGATGGAAGAATTGCAGGAAAGGATACCAGATATCAAGTGCACCAGGAAGCAAGATTTGAGTAAACTCAACAAAGACAATTTAATTACAAAGATAGAGAAAAGCAAGAAAGTAATTCTAGGATTTTCAACACAATCAGTGACTCTGCATTCAAATTCTGCTGCAAATGTTGTCGAAGAAATGCTGGTTGAAAATACACTTCATCATGCTAAGTTGATACCAGTGAAAATATCAGAAGATGCTTTTGTACCTCCTGATTTCAAATTGTTTACTGTGGCCAATGGATGGGAAAAACAGTTTGTTGAAAAGTTGGAAGAAACCTATGGTGGGTGCAAAGTGTTTACTTTAAATACTATACATATTATAGTACTTTTAAATTAGGCTAGAAAAATTGTTTTAAAAGGAGAAAAATTCCAAAAAACTGCAATATCGTAGCTACAGTATGTCTGAATTTCAAATCAGTGCATTTTTTTAAATCAAAAGTTTGTTCCTGTTGTGGAGAAAAGGTTTACTTGATTCTTCAAGTCTTTTAAGCTTTCGCTTCTTTGACCATTTTCTAACCAATCATTGGTTGCTGCAGAGGGCTTCAAACTTGCAGAGCGAAGGTTAAGGTGTTTTTCCAGTTTGGACTAAAATTCATTAACTGTCAAAACACTAACTATCTCACTAGGAATGCATTACATTTTTCAATAATATAATAAGAGAAAAAGTGTTTTCTATGCATAGTCCTGATCTGCTGCTTCGAAACCTTATGAGCCCTAGTTGTTTAAATAACATCATACTGTATTCTGCATTGCAGATAAATCTATGAAAACCTACAGTGACAGTTCATACGATCCCGAAGATCAGGATATGAAGAGGAGTGGCTCAGAAACATCTCTATCAAGCTTCAGCTCTGGTTATAGCACTGGAACTGACATGACCTCAGAATCAACAGAACCAGAAGGTGATTAAATTCTTTCACTTAGCAGTTTAGTAGGAAATGTTTTTATATACTATGTGTGTGGTGAAATTAAAAAAAAAAAATCCTGAAAATATGTGACCCACTCTAGCAAAACCAGCTGTTTGTTTGAAAAATTCAAAATTGAGTATTAGTATTGTTAGAATCGGTTTAAAACAGTGGGTATTTTATGGTAATTGGTTGAGTACTATAGCGAAGTTATGAATATTTAATTCATTGGATATCAGCCATGTAGGTTGTGATACAAACAGCTTCCAAAGATAAGATAAGATAAGATAACATTATTATTCCACTAAGGGAAACTCTTTGCTTGTCATTACAAAGACAAAAAAGATGTAAAAATATACATGAAAAGGTTCAGTACAAGTAAAGTTATTATCATCAATATTATTAATAAAGTGTTTGTTGTTATTATTATTATCATTATCAATGTTACTACCGTTAAAATAATTATTATCATTATTATTATTATTATTTATTATTATTATCATTATCACTACAATTGCAACAGCTTTCATTGTTATTCCGAAATTAATAGTTTATTACTAAGATTTTTATTTTAAAAATAATTTTAATGTACTAATCAGTTAAATTTATTGATTGATATTTTGCAGAAATGTTTTTCAATATATCTTCTTTTATAAAATGCAAACACCTGAAAATGTTAAAAATTCTGATTCTTGAACGTTATGGATGTTTGTGGCATAGCCATATGGAAAGTTTTAGTTTTTCTAGGTTATCTTAATTGGATTTCAATTACTTGGTTTTTTTTCAATATTTTGACCAACTGTTCGCATACAGTAATGACACACCCCACAAGCACATCAACTCCCACCGCCGTCATTGCTTAAACAACGCCATTGTTGAGTGGGCTACAGCATCATTGATGCTCTCATTTTTTTCATATTGTATTTCAAATTATGTATTTCAAATGTATTTATCTAATCTTAATCAAGATTCTGTAGAGATTGCAATAAAATTTATATGCTATAAAAACAAAGTATACATACAATGAACAACCCAAGAACAAAAAAAAAAAAAAAGAGCAAGAACAAGCTGGACATTTATATTGTGGAATAACCAAAGCACAAGTTAGATGTGGTAGTTAATGATTCTTTCATTATATTTGAGGCTATGAAAACTTACCATATTTATTTGAATATTAAATGCCCTGGGGTGTTTATTATTGAGAAGGGTTTTTGAGGGTGCATTTAATCGATGGATGCATTTATCAAGACAAGTATATATTTATTTCACAAAACAAATTATACATATATACATATATATATATATATATAAATATAAAGAAAAAAAT